ATGGTGGGTCAGGGTTGTCCAAAGGACTCCACAAACATTACAGGCTATTGATGGGGCTATTGCTCTTGTTTGCCCCCTAGAGGTGGAAGGAAAGGAAGGAATACAAATTTTTGACCGTACTCTGTAATCTGTGTGGTTAGATATTCTGGAAATATGGCAATGTGGAGTGAAGTGGAAAACTTTACAGGATAATTTTTCCAGCCAACAGTAGGTTACAAATTATGACTCTATCAATTACAATTATAGAAAATTCATTGAATTTTATTTATTTATTTATTTATTTATTTATTTATTAAAAATTTCCACCTCCTCCCATCCTCCCATTTCCCTCTCCCTACTCCCACTTCCCCTCCCCCTCGCTCTCCAGTCCTAAGAGAAGTTAGGGTGCCCTGCCCTGTAGAAAGTCCAAGCCCCCCCCCCTCCAGGTCTAGGAAGGTGTGCATCCAAACACACTAGGCACCCAAAAAGCCAGTACAAAAGTAGAATCAAAATCTGGTGTCATTATCATTGTCTTCTCAGTCTGCCCTCATTGTCAGCCACATTTTCTTTTAAAATAGTTTCTACTTTTTTCAGCTAAAATTTCCAGATTCTTACAGTGTAGCTTGAGAGTCTCAAGATACAACATTTCATTTTTTTTCTTATCTTGCTGACAAAGTTTGTATTTTTAGAAATGAAAGCTAATTTGGATGCTTTCACCAAAAAAAATACATGGTACAGAACTTTCACTAATGTAAATGTGAGTGTACTAGCATTTATTTCCTTTTACATTCATTTATTTTAAGAATTACCTGTAAACATTATTTCCACAGCAACTTCCACCATCATGAAAGATGAAACTTCTAGGTCAGTACAAGCTTAATTTACATTATTCAGTACACATGCTATTTTTCTGATGACTAGATAGTTTTGCTGGCTCTAATAGTTTGCATTGGCAATTGTGGTCTTTCAGAACCTTTAATATGAAGAATAATTAAGACTAAAGGCCATTAAAAAGTATTGAGAATGGAATAAAGATTCTCAATTAAATACACACACGCATACACAAATATCTATGCAAATTCAACTGACTTATGATAAAAGTAGCAATAAGGAATAGTAGAGAAAAGGTAACCCCTTCAATAATTAGTATTATGTAAACTGGCAATACACAGGTAAAAAAAATATATTGTAACCCTTTCTCCAATCATGTAAAAAAAAAACAACTCAACTATTTTAAAGAAAACAAAGATCTTAACTTTATACAAATAGTAGAAGAAAATAGATGTTAGAAATTACATCGGTTTTTATTGTTTTCTATTGTAGTATTTGAATTGATACTTATATGTAAATATATTCACTATTTAATTGTGCCAAATTCTATTCAAAATTATAAGAGCAGATTGTACTGCTTAAATATACAGTTCCAAGTTCCTTACTTAAATATTTGTAATTTTAAAAGTACATAAATTAAGAAAAATACATTGAGATTCAATAAGAAACTGACACCTGTGATCATGTAGCCTATAAGGTATTAAGTAATATTATGTGATGCTAAACCACAATTCTGTCTCAGAATTCTCAACATTATCGTTAATTGATGCGTTCATCAGTGGGTCAGATTGGTCAAAGAGCATAGCACTACTATTCTATTTAGCATAATAGATACAGCATAAATAGAATAGCAGTACTATTGAAATAACATTGAAATAACCCCTAATGCTATAACTGTAGATCAGTGCATATTAACCCTTATCAGAAAAGTAAATGGCAATTAACACAGAAACTCTCAACATGCAGAGATTGGGAGACTGTAAAGTGCTAGACTCAAAATGGAAGGTTCATAGGACACTCTTTCCCTTCAAGGCTCAGAATCTCAGCAGACAGGAAGAAACATTGTAAGAGTCAGAGGGGGTAAATAAGTTCAAGGAAACAGTGTTTTCCTGACTCAACAAGGAGGTTGTACATATTCACTCACAGTGACTGTGACAACATGCAAAATATCTGGGCAAACAAGTTTCACAAAATTCTAGCAAGGAGGTGCAGAAGTGGGCAGAAAATCTTATCACTAGCTGAGGAGGAAACTTTTTAACAGTGTGACGCCTGCAGTTCCAACACACTCTGAGACAAGCCCCAAGTCCAAGGGTAGTTGGGAAGTGCAAATGCAACTCAATGGAAAAAGGGGGGAAAAGGAAGGAAAAACCCGTGTGTGGGCAGGGAGGTAGAGGATGGAAAGGGTGGATTTGAAAAGGAGTTGAACTAGCGTTGACTGTGATCCAAATTCATTACCTGAAATTCTCAAGGAATTACTGTAAATACTATTTTTAGAAATGAGTACAGGTAATAATGATAGAAAAGAAGATAAGGAAATTAAACCCAAGAATAAATTTGAAAGAAGAGAAGATGAAAATGATCACATGAAAAATGCAGTAAAGAAGAAAAGGACCAATCAACAGAGGACAATGGAAATAAGAATTATAATAAGAGGAAGAAAGATGAGAATAGAGAAATAAGAGAATAAACTGTTACAGATGAAAAAGAAAGATAATTGGAAAGGGGTGAGCAGAAAGGAGAAGATATAATTAAATATTTAAAAAAACTGAGTGTTAGTGCTCCTGACTGCAATCCAAAAACTTAGTAGACTGAGGCACAAGAACTACAAGACCCAGGCTCCGCTGATGCTGCAATGAGAATCAAACTTTAAAAAATATAGGAAATATAGGAAAATATAGGGGGAAAAAGAAGGTAAAATAATTAAAAATTAAAAAGAAATGAGAGCGAAATAAAAGAACAGAGAAATGAGAATGAAAGCATATGTAATTATTTAAAGCAATTTGATCTGTCCAAAAACTACAAGGAATGGGGGAAAGGGTCCAATTGCTATTCACTGCCCTACTCTTTAGGATGGAGCTGAATGGGTAACAAGCTTTCTACCAGCCTGCCAGATGGTCTGAAGTCCCCAGAATGATAGCATGTGTGGACCCAGTATGACGTTTCTGCAGTCTACACCAAGTGGTAGCAGACACACAAAGCTCATGTGGCCCATCCTCCTAATTTGTGTTTTGGGTTGTTTTTTTTTTTGTAATTTTGCATCAGTAAGTAACTATTTGCACCCACTTGTTTCCGGTGCCAAAAGTTTTGTAATTAGCTTTCCTAATTAATGGCAATGAAGGGGAATAAACCACTTCCCTTCCTCCATCTCTGGCCTGCTTCTCTTGGCCTAACCATTGGCATATGTCTCCAGTCTTTCACTTATAGAATCATAGGATTAGTTCATGACCTTTGCTGGGAGGTCCTGGATTCAGGTCAATAGAGAGACTTTTAAGTGTCAAGCTGAAAACTCAGATGAATCATTTCAAAAGGTCATACAATTCCACTACTGGAAAAATTTGCAAGAGTGAAGAAAGACCATGGCTTGTGCTATGCTAGAGACTCCAACGCCATATCTGGTGAGATTGAGGTTCTGCTAGTGTCAGGAGGCTGCTAAGGCTTTTTTCAGAGCCTTTCACTGTTTCTTTCAACTCAGGCACAGTTTATGTCCAGTTGCTTTCCGGTATATTGGGTGCTGCAGCTCGTGCTGTTCCTCAGGTCTACTCTACAAAATGCCAGGTTTTCTATGTTTGTTTCCAGAATTCTATCTACTGGCTTCTAAAACTTCAATACCTTCCCACTGTAAAAAGATGTGGAGGTATGAGAAACTGATGGATGTTATAATCAGCCATTTTTCTATATTTAGAATAGAAAACACTGGAAACAATGCAAATGCCCACCCACCCATGGAATGGTGGATAAACAGTGACATACCACATGATTATATATATATATATATATATATATATA